CCATTGACACAATATGCATCATCACCATTTACTTGGTGACGCTTTGTTGGCGGGCGCAGTTGGTCTAGGCGCCTATGAACTGTGGCATCATCATCAGTATGGCAATTTTGGTTTCGGAAATCCTTATAACCAAGGTGGTATGTTTGGAGGATATGATTCATCATATGGTTACGGACCATATGCTTCATACGGTGGAGGTTATGGTACCTATTATTGACGTGACGATTATGCTCTCTGTAAAGAAACAATGAGAATTTATTATAATGTTCTTTTAATCTAAATTTTTCAAACCATATTTTGATTATTTCAATAAATTTGCATGAATACTGATTATACCATTCAAAGGAGAAATCGCAAAATCCGAGACTTCACAAGACTTTATAGGACTTCAAGACAGTCATGTTTTTTTCTGCAGTCTCGAAGTCTTTGCTATTATACAAATCTGTTGCTTTTCACAATTGGTTCTTAATACGAATTAAGAACGAATATGATATCAAATATCAATGAAAAGACATTCAAGAAAAGTTTTTCTGATAAAACTGCTGTTTTAATGAACCGCGAAAGTCAGATCGTTCATGCGTGTATACACGCCGGTGAAAACTGCATCAGATAAAAGTCGCGATATGAATAGAGACAATCGTGTTCGAATGTAAGTTTTTTTCAATTTAAGCCGCAGTTTTCTTGCTTTTTATTACAGCATTGATACACCACGGTTTCAGATATTGATGATGAACTTTTGGAGAGCTACGAAGAATTTCATGAGAATTAGAAGAAGTTCAAAAAATCGAAAGCTCCTGTTTTGTCTTTGATCTAGACACACCCAATATGCAATGTTTTTTTTCATTACGAAGTCGTACTAAAGCTGTCTTTTTTAATGTTAAAAAACAACTTCATTTTATTTTTACATTTGTCACTAATAGCTTCTTTAAAAATAAAAAAAAACTATTTTAAGAATGAACGTCTTCAGAAAACCCAGAATCGTACAGATAATATCAATATTGTAATAAAATACCAACTCAAATGATAATGCATATATTCATCAATAGACGTTCTCTTTTCATTTCAGTTTATGAGATTTTCAAACCATAAATCATAGCTCGTCATTTTCCAATAATGAAATAAATTCAATTAGCTGTACATATATATATATATATTGCTTGGTTAAATAGCCCATCACCATTATTTTTTTAATCAATTTTGCATGACTAAATTTATTATAAATAATTAAGATGAAATATCTAGAATATCCTTATCATCGGTCACATCTCGAAAAAGAACATTAAAAGTTTTATTATAAAAAGTCGGATTATAGGTACATGAACGTTGACAATCAGGTGCAAAATTAATTTCTAATAATTTTGGTTGAATATTATTATTATTACTGTTATATTCTAATATTAAATCAGCGGCATATAAAGCTCGTGATGATAAACATGAACCAATACCAAGTGGTGTTTCTTCGATTGTTGCACAATGAAATATTTCTCGAAACATTTCAAATATACGTTGTTCAATAATTGACCATGGTTCATTCTGTTGACCATGTTGTTCATTAAACATAGTTATAAAAGTTTCACCATCTATTTGTTTTAAATGTGTATTTGCTTGATAATACATTTTAGTAAAATGTGTTGCATAATCATCGAGTTCTTCCATTGAAAATGGTTTACTTGCAAAACGAAGCCAAAATATTTTGTGAACATATAATTTTAATGGTTGAATACTACGTAAAAGTAGTATATAACGAACATCAAATTTTACTCCATTACCTTCGATTTCAGGTATTTTAAGTAGAACCGGATTTGATACATATTTGCAAGCAATTTTTGAGCCTGATTCTGGTAAACGAATAACCATATCAAGTAAATTTGTGATTGACATATCAATTGAACGTGTTAAATTTATTGGTTTAACTATCCAAGTATTATCAATTTGTTTATCTTCACAGTACTAATTAAGTTAAAAAAAAAAAAAAAACAACAAAAAAAAAATATTAATTTTAAAAAATGATTAATGCAATCGATTTGATGTATTTTCTCAGAAACTCAATTAAGTACTAGCGTAGGATTTCTTGAGATATAGTATGTATGTTTGTGGAATATCTCCTATATCGACTGTGCTAGCATTTAATTGAGTTTTTGAGGATACCCGTAGAAGACGTCATATTATCTATTGTGGCACAAGTTTCTTCACCATTCGTTTACTTAATTCTCGAGAAATATAATTAGTTAGTCTATGACAACAAAATGTTATTGACGCATAGTCGTGATCGTATATGAATGTGTGTGACGTGGTGAAGAAGGGAGTATTGCTAAACTTTCTATCACGGCATGTAATGGTCTCTGAATAGCGTGTGTCGCTGCTTGTGGGGAATTGATTCAAATATTTATCACGATATTTCAACACTCCTTTTAGGCCGTGTTTGATAAAAACTATCAATAAAGGTTTACTTGAAAGTAAACAGCAAATTGAGGTAATTCATACGTGAGATTGAATGTTGTCGGTAACCATGTCGGACTTCCATGTGACTCAATGTACGGATCATATTCAGTTGTTGTCGTTGACGATGATGAAGAGCTAGAAAAAAAAAGATTAAATAGTAATAGAATTTCTTCATTAAAGAAAAAAAGACATATCCCCAAGAGAAAATTGATTAGAATTAGTTGACACATATACAGAAAACTTTTTAACCTATTACTTCACCTAGAATTTCATTTTGTTGAAAGCTTATTTTTTTTTCCTAAAGTATTAAATAATTGTGTTATTTTAATTAAAAAAAAAGAAAACAATTTGTTTTTGTATTTTATTAAACAATTTATGTTTGATTAAATTTGTTTAGAATAAAAAAGAAAAAAACAAAGCATACCCATATAATGATTTCCATCGTCGAGTAGTTAATGCTAATAATTCTTTATTTGTTAATATATTTTCAAATGGAAATTGATTAATTAATGTATTATGTAATGTTTCATAACGAAAATCTTGAATTTGTTTTTTTGTATATATAATATCAGCTTGATCAATATTATCAATTAATTGATAATGTTGATCATTTAAATACTGTTTAACAAGATCATGATCTGTATAAACTTTCCAAATATGATCTTTATGAAATTTGTTTAATTCAATTTTAATTGGTATTTTATCATATAAATCATTTTTATGACCTTCTTCAAATATTTCTGTATTATTTTGAAGTTTTTTTGAAAATAATTCAGGACAATTTTCAATTGTTAAACTACGAAGAATTGTTTTACGATAATGAACACGCTGCCATGGTAATAATTTTATATTTCGATCAAGTGTACTACTATTATCATAAGTATAATTTCGAAATATTTCACTATATGGTTGTTCAATACGAACAATTGGATAAAGTAATGTAAACATTGTTTGAGTTGGTTCGAAAAAAAATGATGCACAACAAACATTTGCATTTGTATCTGAATGACGTATTGATGAACCAAGCTCATCCATTATGTACCTAAACATATGAAAAGAAATTTATTTTTCTTATCGAATATCAGACAATCATATAGTGAATTTATATATGAAATAATAGATTCTAATATTCTTCAATAAGTTTGTATTAGAGTTCATCGTAAATTTGTATGCGATAATATGTACTTTTGAAGTTTCTTAATTCAAAGATTTATATTTTTCTTTTTTTTCCATAATTCTATATTTATTTATTTAATCATGCAATAACAAATAGTAATGTTTATGGTAATTCAACGAGAAAGAAAAATATGACAAGAGACACATACGATTTAAACACAAAGGAATTCACATCGTGACATGAAGAAAATTATATAAAAACATCTATATGATTTTGTCGATAATTTATTATTAAGGAATATTTATAGCTTGTTTTTCTTCTTCTTTTCCAATGCTTTTAGACTTACCAATAAGGTTCTTGTGCTACTTCGGCATCGAGATTTGGATTGAATTGTGTAGATGCTAATGTATATGTTTGATTAAATTTCCACATACGCTGTAATATTAATTCAATACCATCGTCTTTTGTATCTGAATTAACATTCATTAATGATGCCATACGTTCATATAAATTCGGAATAGATTTTAAATTATTTCTTGCATCACTTATTCTATATGTCCATGCATGATCAATAAGAAATATTGCATTTTCATCGTTTTCTGGGTCAAGAATAACATTTTCAAGTGTTGATAGATAAAAACGACGTTCAGGATTAAATGTTTTTTCTAATTCTTCATCATCATCATCAACTGGACATATTTGAAAATATGAACCACTATCAAATATTTCATTTTTGATTTTTTCATATAAACGTCGATAAAGATGTTTTGGAATATTATTAAAAATAAGTTGTAATTGATGTGTTTGTAAAAATTGTGTATATTCGTCGTTATCATCGGCCATGATCTAGAAAGAATCTATTCTGACAAAAGAAAATTTTTAAAGCCACCCAACAATAGATTTGTTCGCGAGCATCAAATAATTTCATTTAAAAAAGACATAGCATACATTTTCACTGACACACAATCTAAATAGAATTCATTGAAAATGATTAATTACAATAACGAAAAAAAAAAAGAAAGAAGAATCAAAAAAGTAAATCAGTAGTTGTTGACATTGAACTCCATTGAATATTATTTGTCATATCAAACATTGATTTTTCTTGTTTTAATATGGAATGATTTGAAGTATTAGTCGATGAAGAAAAATATTTTTCGCTAGAAAATATATCTGACGAATTGGAATTTGTTGAAGAATCATTTCGTGTGCCTAATTCATATTGATCAAGATATGTTGGACGAAATGTATGTAATGTACCTAAATAAAAGTAGAATTTTTGTCTTTACATACAGTTAGTAATGCGTCTTAACCATTTGGTTTCATTTTGCTATGCCGAGAGTCTCTTTTTTTTTGTCGCTGTTTTACTGTGTTTTTTCCTGTCCTTATTCACATCTGTTATTTTTCTTGCTTTATCTTTTTTTCTTAGTAAAGCGTAATGCTGTTGACGAGGAAAGACAAAATCGAATATTTTATGCCATGTACTCATACGATCGTAATGTAAGAAATCAACGAGAACATTGTAGGAAGTTGTGCGACAGAGAAATGAATGAAGGAAAATAAGGAAAGAAAAAAATAAAGAAGAAAAAGCGTCACTTGAGACAAATAGAAAGATCCTTACGTACTCTTATATAAATGTATGCTACGGTAGTTAGAGCGTGGGAAGAAATCTTTTTAAATTCATACCTTTTGATTGTAAAGGTTCTTCGATAAGGTTTTTGGAATTAAATTTTGCATTAATACTTGCCAATCGTTCAAGTTCATCATCATCCACATCATCAATTTTATTTTCATCTACAGGAATTTTTTTCATACTATTTTTATCATTCTTAATTGACGAATAATCATTATCATCATCATCATCATCATTGTCATCATCACTATCATCATCTGAAATAGTATAACCAAATTCAGCCATTACTACAGTAAATGATGGATATTCAAATGTATCAACATCATCAATAAATTGTACGCGTGTATCCTAAATTGTATAGATATAGAAAAATAAATTTTAATTGAAATTCTTTAATACCTTTCTTGTTCCTGAAAAAATCGATGATTTATTTAATTTGACATTTCCTCCAATAATATCTGGAGCTTGAAATAAATCAATTGATGTTGATATAGATGATTGTTCATCTTTAATAATTGGTTGAGGTGGTGGAACTATTGAAGCTGGTAGAGTTGACTGAACATCACTATTTACTTTTATTCCACCAAAAAATGTTACTGATTTAGTTGAATTAACAACTGTTTGAACAATTGAATCTAATGAAATATCTTTTTTATCTAAATTATGATGATGAACAATTGGTTTTGTGAGAAAATTAGGTGGCGATGAAACAGAATTCGTATGATTTGAAGATTTTTTAATATTTGTTGAAACATAAGAATTTACATTCGATCGTTCAATTGTATTCGTACGATTAAATAAAGCTAAACGACTTTTAAAATCAAGTGGTTGATAATCACTAGTATCTGACGATGAAGTTGTTGAAAGTAAAAGATTTGGACGATTATTATTATTTGTTGTAGTTTCATCAGTAATAATATTCAATGAAAAATTTTTTTTCTCATTTTTTTGAGTGTGTAAATTTATTAAAGATTGTTCATTAAGAATTTTATTTGTTTCAATATGTATTGATGTTGGTGGTGTATGTGATATAACAACATCAGGATATAATGTTGATGGTATATTTGATGTATGTATTACTGTTGTTCGTCGTTGTCGTATAGCCATATCATTTGGTGATATACTGCGTGAACGACTTGGACTTAAGATTTCTCGATGTTGACTATTCACACGTGAAGTATTATTGAATGATGTATTCGATAATTTATCGCTATCATATCGACTTAAACGAATTTGTCGTTCAAACATATTTTTAACAGTTGTAACTGTACCTATTTCAAAAAATAAAGAAATAACAATAGACTGATATGAACTAAATATAATTTTCATTTGATATATCTTCATCAAATGATATGTTGTCTCAAATTAAATATATAGTATATCTATGTTTAGTCTTTTGGGATTGTTTTGACTCAAGGAAATATGTTCAAGGATGTGAAGATTATTAAATTGTATTATAGAATATGGAGGTATTTAATGACTAAAAAATGCAAACAGAACATTAATAAAAAGGAAATGAACCGATGAATGAAAGTTTATAGCATAAAACGACTACTTTGAAATAGATCACGAAATCTTATCTAATGGAATCTATAGCATAAGAGTTGATTATATAGATTCAGAAGTTTTCATAAGTCTTCATGAACGACAAAATTAGTTTACATGCAGACAAAAAAAATAATTCCTAACCAAATGTTTTTTATTAGAGTCTTGAATATTCATGTCATTCTTTCAAATGACATATTATTTGATAATATCTTTTATTATGGTAATAAAACTATTAACATGATAACGTGAGAATAAAGAACAGAAGTGTATATTAGTCGTTTTTTGCTCATCTTTAGTCTCTGTCGTTTCATAATTTACCTAATACAGAATTTCATGAGTAGTCTTGTTGTAACAAAAAATAAAACAATTTTTTAAGGATTCGGATCTTTTTTTTTTGCTAAAATTATTAATATTCATGTTTGTACTTTAAATATTTCTTTTCACTTGTGCTCACTATTTGCTTAATATCTCGATTTAAGGAAAAAACATGAACTTTCGATATTTTTAGAATTGGACTTTGCTAAATAAGACGATTATGTTTTTTTTTCTTTCACAAGATATTAAGAAAATAGTGAGCTGAATCGAACAGAAATATTCAAAGGTATAAATGTGAATATCAAAAATTTAAGTAAAACAAGCGTCTATAATCGTCAGAAATTGCTTTGTTTTGTTACCAAAACGATTCTTCGCGAAATTCTATATGAGATAAATCATGAAACAGGTGAAACTGGAAACGAGCCGAAAAATGCCTTTGATCCACTCCTATTCTTTATCCTCACGTTTACATGTTAACAGTTTTATTACTATAATAAAAGATATTATTGAATACTGTGTCATTCGAAAAAATGACACGAGTACTCAAAGTTTCAGACAAAGAAAAATTTGGTTAAGCATTATTCTCTGTCCGCATATGAACTAATTTTGTCACGTCTCAATATTTATCAAACACTATGTATATAAAGAAGTTCATGTTTTGTTAGTTAAAGAATATTTGGATGATTTCCAGCTGACGGAGAAAATTTTTCCAAGTGTCAAATCGTTTTTCGACCAAAAAGGATGTTCAATTGATGAGCAGCACTAGTGAGTCATAGCAAAGTCTAGAAAGGTTTAGTTTTTCGGACCACTGTTCTTGAAATATCAAAAGGCGATTATAAAGTTTTGATCTACACACGAAATAAATATATAGAGAGATTAGTAGAGAAAGACTATCTCTCTCTAATAATAAATATATTATTAAGTTTTATTGCGTACCATCGAAAACTCAATAGGGGCGCTACCTTCACCGTGATTACAGTCGAATCCGGCAGAGTTAGCACTGCCATTGACATCTGAGCAGTTCGTAATAGTACTTGATAATGAATGCACGATTTACAAAGAGGAATATTTTCTGTATTAACGTAAATATATATTCCGATTGTGATTCAAAAATCACCTTGAGGCGTACATTTGCTTTTTACTGAGTTTTTCGTCTCCCTCCGATCACGTGGAAAATCGACTTCTACGTTTCAACTTCAACCTTTACGTGAACAATGTTCTCAACGAGATTAGTTGATTTAGCAAGTTGTAGTTTTTCTAGTGTCTTCAATATTCGAAATTCTATCATGTCAAAAAAATGAATTTTGTTCATCTCCAGAAACGAAATACTGAAAAGTTAAAATTTTCACAATGAATTAATTTCATTGAGAACTTTGTTCATGAAAAGTTTGAAATCGAAACTCGATTAAAGAAAACAAAGTTTTGAATGGCTCATATATCGAATAACTGAGACAAAATAATGGCTTTTTCTATCATATTAACATTATATTATTTCGATTTTTTACATACCAGGTTTTGGTACTTCATCCATATGCAATTCAATATATGAATGTCGATATGTTAAAGTGTTTTCATCATTTGATTTTGTTCTTTCAACAATAATAACATCTTGTTTTGGTTGTAAATATGATGCAAATTGTTCTGTATTATTATTATTATGATTATTATTTAATAAATTATCTTGACTACGTGATAAACGTGTTGTATGTTTTAATGGTGATATTGATGATTTTGTTTGAAGTAAATTTTCATTTGATGATAAACGTGATGATGGTTTTGATAATGAATATCGATTAAATGTTGAATTATTATTTAATAATAATGATTCATTTGCTTTATCAAGTAAACGTTGTTTCATTGAATTAACAACACCAAATGGTACATGATCATTCTCAATACTTCCATTATAATTTTCATTTAATTTTGATGTTAAACGATTTGTTGATGACATTGATTTTATTGTTGAAGAAAGATTTCCATTGATATGATGATGATGATGATTAGGAATATATGGATGATGAGTATTTGTTGTTGATAATGATACAAGGACAGACATAATTGACAAAATACACAAAGAAATAAATTACATTATCTAAAGAAAAAAATGATTCAGTTAACACTGATTAAATAATATAGTATTCAACAAAAGACATATTTGCCTTTACTCTTTTTATGAGAACAACCAATAGCTTCGATATTCTAAAAAAAAAAACAACCAAAAATGAATAAATAAAGAAACAAAAAAAAAAGAAAAATCACGATTTCTTTTTTCTTTTGCTTTTATTATGTTTTTTTTTCTTACCTGAGCAAATACATCATAAATAATCCAAAAGATTATTATCAACAACAATATCATTGAATATATCCGGGTAAACAATATTATTAAATATATACATATTCTCACTTACCAAAAGAGTTTTAATGCATACATTCTATCATTTATTTCGATTTTGATTACAATATTATTCTTTCTTTTTTTCTTGTGAATGTTTATATATAATGTAACATTTAAACATTTTATGTACTCGAACAAAACTACGTCATAAAAGTGAAGGTACAACATGACATTACTTTTAAGTAAAAATTTATTTCCGTTTAACAATCAATAGGAAAGTTAAAACAAATATACATCCCTATAACAACTATTGAGCAATGGTCATGTCACTAGTCTCAATCAATATATGTATATATATATCGAAATAGACCGAATGACATGCATGCATGTGTTCGCTCTATTTGTCTATGTATATCTTTATGCCTTTCGCTTTTCTTCTTTTTAGTAGTATTAGACTGTCGTCAAACAACCATATGAATCGTAATAAGATGTCTCGATCTTTTCTTTCTTTCGTTTGCCAATGCAAACGATAAGACGACTTACTCTCCCAATTACATATATGTTCTTATTTAACATCATATACAAACATTGTAACCAATGTTTTTATGACAAAAAATGACCATTAACAGTAGCTGTTGACTACTTAGTTGATTTAAAATTAGTAGTAAAAGCGTTGGGATGGTGAAGCAAGAGTTGAATTTCCTTTCAGAAACTTTTGGCTTTTGTCTATATTTGAAAATGATCTATGATTAACATTGAAAGAGTATATATATTTTTTTTTGTTTTGCTTTAGAAATTTTTTCTTGTTCTGCTATTACTTTAAATTGAAGGTTTTCATATTTATTCGATTTAAAAGGATGAAAAAGCATTATTATGATGACCGCCTTCTGTGAATAACCTATTATATCTTTATTTGAAATAAATTTTTAAAGAACGTATATGATTCTTTTTTTAGGGTAACAAATTCTCTCTATGATTGAAGGTTATTGACAGATTTTATAAGTAGATTATTGTGTATGAGACTGGTTATAATTTACCTCAATGGAATCACTTATAAGTCTGGCATTTGTATGATTCATTTGTGCATTATCGATTTTTTTTTTTTTTTTATTTATGAAATTTATAAATAAATAATTTGTTGTTATAATTCAAAAATTAGAATAAATAAATCAAATATATGAGTTTAATTTAAAAAAGAAAAAGAAAGAAGCGTAATGATGAATAATTCATGATGTAGTTTTATCCTAATCTTCACAGTTAATCAATCATTTAAATAATAAATTTTAGAAAAAAAAGAAAAAGAAATTCGTTATTCAATCGATTTATAAACTTCAACTAATCGTAAAGAAAATTCAATTTATTCAGTTTTATAATTCAATTCTATTAAATCGATTAAGAAAAAGAGCATTAGGATTAAGAAGTGAGAATAGAAGATTTTAACTCACTCTATTTCATTTATATGATTTCCTGTCCGAAAAAAGAGAGAAATTTCTAGTCTTATAGCAAATATAGTGCTACATAAGACTCCGACTCCAATTCTGCCGAAGCCAATAAAAGAATTTTTTTCGGAGTCAATATCGGAAATCTATCAGTGAAAAAAAACCAAGTATTTTTATACTTACATAGAAACAAGTCTGTTCTTCGTACGTTAAGTAACAAACAAAAACACACTACTCTATAGATTCATATAGAAGTTTCAAGGAAAAAAAAACATCAGAGACACAATCCTCATTAACAAGTAGCATAAACAGAAGTATGTATGTTAGTCAAAACAAGTTTGGCTTCGTAGAACTTTAATGACACAAGAGAATTGTACTATGAATGATCCATTGAACAATGGCGAGTATTTTTTTTTAACTTCAATTGATGTCTAGAATGTATCAGGATTAACTGGAAGGCTTTATCTTAGATTTATTGTCATAGACAAACATAATGAATATAACGTAATTCACAGAACTTATTAACATTCTCTGTGTGCATGTGTAAGATTGTAGTTGAGTTTTCAACTGTTATTTTGTGTTGCAAGAATAAATTATTTTTACATTGACATATGCTTCTCTTATGTCTGGAAAAATCTACAGACTTTTATCATATGTAATGTTTACAACAGATTTCCTAATTGATCTATTTGTCGTATAACGATAATAATCGGAATCATTCAGAATATATAATCTTGCATTAAAAACAATAATACAGTATACTTTCAATATGATATATAGCGTGTATATAAATTTATTTTATCGATAAGTAAACTGTTTCCTATAAATTTCTTTAACGAATAAGAATAATTATTATTATTGTATTTTAATTAATAAAATATATATTTTTGTATTTTTACTTTCAAATATAATAACGATATGTTAAAAAGAATTTTTCCTTTACATACCTATAAACTATATATATATATGTTTAATAAAATATTGATATAATATAGAAACCAGTATTATGAAAGATTATCATCGTTTTCGAAATATTTTATTTAATAAATTTTTTTTTTTAAAATAAATTATCAATGAAAAATTTAGTTTATTTTTTTTTAATAAATATTCACTATATTTTAAAATAAATCTAAAATGAAATTGATATTATTGATGAAAAACAAAAAATAAAAATAAAATTATTTTCGATTAATAAATCATTCTGACATATTTTCTTACTTGAAAAATAATTAGTTTGATAAAATTAAAATAAATATATATTCGTTTTTTTCACTCCATATTTTAANAAAAATAAACTAAATTTTTCATTGATAATTTATTTTAAAAAAAAAAATTTATTAAATAAAATATTTCGAAAACGATGATAATCTTTCATAATACTGGTTTCTATATTATATCAATATTTTATTAAACATATATATATATAGTTTATAGGTATGTAAAGGAAAAATTCTTTTTAACATATCGTTATTATATGAATAGAAGAATAAAATAAATAGTCTAAAAGTTCTTACTAAGGTGATTTTGCCAGACAAGAAAAAGAAAGAATTTATGCATATATATATATACACAAAGAAAAATGATATATGTAATCTATTGCATTGTCGTCATTAAATAATGCTATTATATATGAAGGAAATCATTGTTTAATGTAGTTAGTTGAATTTACAAAAAAAGTGTTATTAACAATCTTATGTCCTTTATTGGAAAAAGTTTTGTTAGTCAATTTTGTTTATTATTTTCATCTCCACTTGTTAAACGTTTTCGACCTTTTTGTGGAATATTTGATGTTATATCATGATTAATAATTTTTTTTCCTTCTAATTGTTTAAGAAGACTTTGCAATTGTTCGTATACATTTGGAACATCTAATTGTATATCCTCAATATCATCAAATAAACGTAATATGCCAGTTTTTAATTGATCATATGTAATAACAGTTGTTTTTGTTAATGTTTCAAGTAAAGATATTGTTAATTGTTCAGCACTGAAAATAGAATATTACGGTAAAAAAAAATTTATTAATAATTATTATTATTCAACAAGGTAAATTTAATTGATAGACTCGTTGAATAGTGATATCTTAGATAGGACTAAATATTGTCTTTAATTAAAAAGTCAATGTTACAATAATTCTTTTAAATTTTTTTTTTATTACAATCTCTGATATTTATGTATATAATTTAAATCTATATCAAAATAGATAAAATTCTATATAAATAAGTTAACTAACCGTTCAGTATTTTTTTCTAAACAAAAATTTATAAGTTCATAAACGAATTCATGAAAAAAATGTGGTACATTTAATTCTTTTAAACATCGTATTGTTTCATTTGCATCACCACTATCATAATATTCATGAATAATTAAATTCATTTTATCAGCTAATTCTCTGACAGGTAGAAAACCACCTAAAAATATTAAATATTTATTAATATTAGTATTCATTCTTTTGTTTGAACATACTTGATTGAGCTCCCCAAACATTATTAAGAAAATAAAAATCTCCCATTAATACAAGTGTTTCAGCTTTATCAAGAGCAATTTGCATTTTTGGACATTTAACATTACCTTTATAACGGGCAAAATACTTGTCATTGATATTATCAATACATTTATCGGCAATTGATCGTGCAATGAATTTACCTTTATTATAATAGAAAAAGTTAAATCATGCAAAATATTTAAAAAAAAAATCTTCGTTTTTTTACCAATATCAGTTGAACATTCCGGATTATCAAGTGATAAATCAGTTAATGTTGTTAATAAAGCATTAAAACCTTTAATATAATCATCTGCACGGAAAATGATACCATTAAGATCATGTAAAAGACGTGATATTAATTCTTTATGAACATTTGATTTTTCTAATGCTACTGTTATTATATAAGCAAGTAATTCTCCATCTCCATATGGTTTTAAATTAAATTTACGTAATGATTGTGCTACATCATTAGCATCACCATTAACAAAATATTCATCAATTATTGGTTTAATATCTTTATCAAAATTTTCAATTGATTTCAATTGATTTTTTTTCTTTTCAGTTGTTGTTGTTGTTGTTGTTGATTCAGCAATATATTTTTCTTTAGCTTGATTATATTGTAAATCTAATAAATCATCTTCATCAAAATCTTCAGTATATTCATCAAGCACTTCAGAACCTAATGCACCCCATGTAAAATGTCCACCACCACCACCTTTTTTTGCTAAACCACGACCTTTTCCTATTTAAAAAAAAAACAACGAATGAAATTCATTAAATAACGGCTGTTTTTTGAA